TTTAAGAAAAGAAAAAACACTATATGTGGTGATTTTAATCAGAAACATAGTTACCTCTGTTGTGTGTTTATTTAGTGAAAGGTGCATGAGGCTATCTTTTGGGACACTGAAAGTGTTTTATATCTTGACCTGGGTGGTGATTACATATGTATAGACATATGTCAAAAATAATTGAGCAGGGGTCAGCAGGTGATGTGGAGGTTAAGGAGCTGGATCCCACATGGCTGACTGCAGTTCAAGTCCCAGACCCGGTGACTTGAAACTCATATCAGGTACCTGTGTGTGCATGCCCAAAGTCCTAAGAGGAAAATGGATAAGAGGAGATTGTGACATGGCCATTCCTTCTAGTGAGTTATTTCTCACTTCCCCTTTCTTTCCTTTGTGCGCACATGCAAGGAAAAAAAAAATTGAGCTGTCCATTTGTTTTTTATTATTAGAGACTTTTTTGTTATAGAATGTGTGTGCTTGCCAGAGAGAAAGAGACAGAAAGCAAGAAATCACCCCTCACATTATAGCCACGCCACAGTTTATTCTCCTCCATTCTCTTCTTGTGATTTTGGGTACACATGCACACACACACCCAGCATGAGTTTCAAGCCTCTAGGCCGGGATTTGAACTGGGGTCAGCCATGTGGGAGTCCAGCACCTTAATCACTATGCCACCTGCTGGATCCCTGAGCTGTACACTTAAAAGCAGTATACTAGGTGCACTTTACAGACTATGCTCTTCTACCATCAGGAAAGACACATGCTAGATCACTAGTACTTTTTATTATTATAGGTCATGTAGTCAACAAAATTTAGACTTGCTTAGAAAGTACACACCATACTAGTACTGGTCAAACATAGGCCATTCCAACTAAATGGGGTAATCTTCTGGGACTAAGAATAGTCAAGACTGGAAGTACCAAAGAAATTCATCTTAGATCTGAGATCAGATTTTTCTTTGTCCTCTTTACCCTCAAGCAATCAGCCACAAAGTGAGATCTAGAACTCAGTTGTTTTGACTTCCTGTATGGTGTCAATCTTTATTCAATTACTACATGCTTTGGTGGAAAACCTGTTCACGAACTGCTACAAAATCAAGTACTGGTTTGCATGTCTTCTCAAAAATGGTTCTTAATAGAGAGTTATGGATGACAGCAGAAGTAAATGAAACAAATACAAAAGATCTATGAGTTGTTTTATTTTTTCCTTTTAAAATTTTGCCAAGTGGTGTGTGTGCATGCAAGGTGGGCAAAAATCGAAAGTATCCCCAATGGGGCATGGTCATGCCACTGCAGTCTTTTCTCCATTTCTCCCTCTGGGCATGTTTTTCAAGCCGCTGGGTTGCTTGTGTGGGACCCAGATGCTTTAACCACTAGGCTAGGGGCTGGCTCAAAAAGATCTATTGAAACAAAAAAGCTGATTTTTTACTTATGAAAGAACAGAATTAGCAGAAACTGAAAGATTGGAAGGTATCATAGCAGGGAGGGCAACTGTAGATACCAGAGATAGTATAGGGTGTGGGGATAATAGTGGGTGGGTAATAGGAGGGAGGGAGAAGAATAGGGAAAAACCATTTAATTGATACAAAAATGAAAAAAAGTAGATTAAGAAAGAAGTAAATTTTTGTGGAACAGATTTTAGCTCCTCTTACCACACAAATGAAAAAACATATGCTAATCTGTATGAAGCTATATTTATCTCTGTATCTCATAACATTTTTTTAAACCTCAAATATACCCAATAAAAGATATTTTTAAAAAGCATAAAAAAAGATGTACCTATAAAAGTAGATGTACCCATAAAATTAAGCAAACATTTTAGTAGCTCTTACTATGTACCATATACTGTATTAAGCATCTTGCATGCATGATCTGACTTAATCCTCCAAATACCATGAAGTAGATATATCTCCATTTTACAGATGATGATGATGACTGAGGCATGGACAGGCTAAGTAACTTGCCTAAGGTCATAAAACTAGTAAATGGCAGAGGTTGGATTCTAATCCAGACACCCTCATCCTAGAGTTTGTATTCTTTGCCACTATAACCTAGCTGCCTGTCTGTCACAATGTACATGATCAATCACTGATCTGATTCAAGGTGTAAAGTTATACTATGCATTTAAATTTTTAATTGTGTAGACCCAAATTATGACTAATCTCCGGTCTCCTGTCCACTATATATACATAACCTTTCTTTAAAACCTTCATCTAAGTACATGGAGAATATGAAGACACACATAACTATTGCATAGGTAACTCAAAGCGATACACCATCTTCTTTAAAGCTTATTGGCCCTTCTCAATCCATACCTCTTACTCTGTGCAAGGAAAGATCACACTATCACTGTAAGCAAGAAAGTGAATTATCCAGTTTTCAGGATTCATAATGGGTTATAATTGGTCCTGCGTATTTAGTTTCATGTTTTACAGATTTGTACAGAGAATAGACTGGTACATGTAGCTTAGGTGCTAAATCATGTAGGCATCAATCCAAAGCTTTAGAGAACTGTTTCTATATACTGACTATGTTTTCCAAACCAAAGCTTCCTTAATGGCTATTAAAAGACCATGGCTGAGAACAGCCCTTCTTCAAGAGACAGACAGCTCCATGGCTCCTGCGATGTAGCCATTTGGGGAGAAAGGAAGATGTCCCACTGATAACTGGGCCTCCAGCATCCAAAACTCGCGTGATTGAACTTCCAAGTTTGGGAAGAAACCGACCATCCACCAGATGACTAGAAATCGCTGCAGGACCACAAGAAATATGGGGAAGCAGGAAAATACCTCTCCCACAAGGGAAAAGGATAGCTCCTCTTTATCCAG